ATTTCCCAAAACCATTATGTAGTTCTTCACTCCCCAGGTTGAAGAAATGTAGCAAATGAGGTTGAGAAAATGTAGCAAAGCTAGGCTTTATAATGCGATGCAGAACTAGAAGGGCTATCCCTATATGCCTTTATATTTGTAACTTCATAAAAAAGTGAATGTGAGTGCCTTTTTAAGAGCAGATTTAACATCCAATCAGTTTCAATATTTCTCTTTAATAAATAATAAAATCATATGCTCGCCCCCTGGTGGCCAAAATCAGAAATTCATATTTATTTTCCTGGATAATATCCAAACTATGATTCATGTGGTATATTGAATTTCTGTTTCATATTTAAACTGTACCACAAATAAATCTAAGAAGGTCGCTGGCTTTTTTTACAAGTGTGTTTTAATATCTGGTAGAAAACCAGTGATATTATTAATATAGTAATTTAAAAGTTCCTTTGGATAATATTTGATACTTAACATATAAAATATGTATGTAGCAAACAATTTGCCATTTCAAACACTCCTCACAAGCAGTTTAGTGACTTTATGTTTATCATGTTGTTCAACCAGCACCCTTATCAGGTACCTCATTCTCCCAATACCTTTACAGAGGCGTAGGGCTCCTAAGCATTGATTGCTCCTTTCCCCCTTCCTCTCTCTACCTCTGGTAACCACGAATAAAGCTTGGTCGCCATTCTAGAGATTGCATATATGTGGAATCATGTAATATTTGTCCTTTTGTGACTATTTGTTTCACCCAGCATAATACTTGGAAGGCTCATCTTTACAGCATGTATCAGGGCTTCCTTTGTCTGCAGGGCTGAGGAATAGCTTGTGGTATGTCTGTATGTACACACACCCAGTCATCCCCTGATGAGCTGCTAGGCCATTTCCAACTCTGGCTGTTGTGACGAGTGCTGCTATACAAGTGTCTGGTTTTGTTCTACTCCCACATTGTGTGTTTTCTTGCTTCTTTTCTAGTGAACCATTCTTTACTTGTTTCTCCATTGTCTTTATATTTTTAAGATAATTTTTGTGGCTACTATGAATAATAAATAATTGATAAAGATTTATCTTCAGTAATACACAATAATGCTATCACTATGATTTTATTTTCCTTATCACCAGCTACATCTTCATCCATCATGTGCTCTGTGACAAATACATTTATACCTAGTTTTAGGCATTTGTCACAAAGCATGAAGGGATTCATAATTTGAATTATTAATCAAAAGTATCTTAAAGTTTGTGTCTACCTTAAAGTTTGCACGTACCTTTAACGGAGCCCTCCATGTGGCTGCGTGTTACTTTAGGGGTCCTTTTCCGTCAGAAGGACTGCTTTTAGCATTTCTCACAGTGCCTGTGTGGGGGATGTAAACACCCTTAGCTTTTGCTCATCTAAGAATGGCACACTTTTACCCTAACTCTTCGAAGGAGTTTCATGGGCTTCATAGTCTTGGTTGATATTTCTTTCCATTCAGACAGGTCCCTTCTTTCAGTGTGGGAAGCACTCCATTGCCTCGTGGCCCCTCAGGTTTCTGAGGAGAAAGTGCACTTAATATTACTGGGGATCCTTAATATACTGTGTGCCTGTTCATTCCTCTCACCGCTTTCCGGATTCTTTTTCTTTAGTTTTGGAAAGTTGATAACAACAGGTTTTGCTGCGGGTCTCTTGGGGTTCATCCTACTTGGGAGTTTGTTAAGCTTCTTGAATTTGTAGGTTCATGTCCTTTGTCAAATATGGGAAATGTTCTGCCATTATTTCTTCAAGCATTCTGTCCTTTCCTGTCCCTGTCTCCTTTTGGAGTTCCCATGATTCATGGCAGTTTGCTTGACATCATCTCAGAATTCAAGTAAGCTGAGCTCAGCAGTCCTGAGGTTTCTTTAAATGTCCGTAATTTCCACTGCCTTACCCTCTGGTTCATGGGTTCCTTCTTCTGCGGGACCAAAAGGGCTGTTCAATGCTTCCATTGTGCTTTTGGTTTCAGTTACTCTCCTTTTCAGTTCCAGTGCTTGTTTGGTTTTCCTCGTTACTCTCTATTAAATTCTCATTTTATTTAGATTGTTGTTGTTGTTTTTCATTTCTTTTAGTTATTTCTGCTTTCCTAATTACTGTGTTTTATTCTTTTTGTTATTTGGACTTCCACAAATATGATTCTTATTTTCCTCATTTACATGGATCATGGTTTCCATTTTCATTTTAAATCATTTTATTGGGGGCTCATACAACTCTTATCCTAATTCATACATACATGCATTGTGTCAAGCACATTTGTTGTCATCATCATTTTCAAAACATTTTCTTTCTACTTGAGCCCTTGGTATCAGCTCATTTTCCCCCCTCCCTTCCCCTCCCCCCTCATGAACCATTGATAATTTATAAATTATTTTTATTTTTTTATGTCTTACACTGACTGATGTCTCCCTTCACCCACTTTTCTGTTGCCCGTCCCCCAGGGATCTATATGTAAATCATTGTGATTGGTTCCCCCTTTCTCCCCACACCTTCCCCTTACCCTCCTGGTATCACTACTCTCATTGTTGGTCCTGAGGAGTTTATCTGTCCTGGATTCCCTGTGTTGCAAGCTCTCATCTGTACCCATGTACATGCTCTGGTCTAGTCAGATTTACAAGATAGAATTGGGATCAGAATAGTGGGTGGGGGAGAGGAAACATTAAAGAACTAGAGGAAAGTTGTATGTTTTATTGGTGCACCCTGACTGGCTCATCTCCTCCTGACGACCCTTCTGTAAGGAGGTGTCCAGTTGCCTACAAATGGGCTTTCCGTCTCCACTCCGCACCTCCCCTCATTCACATTGATATGTTTTTTTGTTCTGGGTCTTTGATGCCTGATACCTGATCCCATCAACACCTCACAATCACACAGGCTGGTACGCTTCTTCCATGTGGACTTTGTTGCTTCTCAGCTAGATAGCCGCTTGTTTGTCTTCAAGCCTTTAAGACCCCAGACACTATATCTTTTGATATCCAAGCACCACCATCTTTCTTCACCACATTTGCTATGCACCCATTTTGTCTTCAGCGATTGTGTTGGGAAGGTAAGCATCTCTGAAGGCCAGGTTGTTAGAACAAAGTGTTCTTGTGTTGAGGGAGTTCTTGAGTAGAGGCCCAATGTCTGTCTACTACCTTGATACTTCACCTATAAATATGTGTACATAGATCTATAGATCTATATACATTAACATTTTATAGGGCGTTAATTTTCCCAATCCTCCCTATAATCAGTACTTTCGACAATTTTCTGCAAGAAACTCTGGTGGGCAGAGCCTTCAGACTTTGCTTACCACTTCCTATCTTTCTTATGGTAGCTCCTCCCTATTTTCAAAATCCAGACCGTGTATTTTATCTTTCTGTCAAAAAGAAGGGAGAAAACGGACTGATTGATTTGTCCACCAGGGCAAACAGCCAAGCAAAACAGAACATGAACTACCTCCTTCCTCTCTTAGGAGGCATCTTCTTTCCTTAGTAATAAATAGTTCCCTTTCCTGCTGGGCTGCATTTCTCTGTTTTAGGGTACAAAACAGGCCCTAATTTCATATATACTTCTAGGAGAATGTGTATTAAGAGAGACAAAGACACAGACAAATCATCTGGATGACGAAGTCAAAACAGTGTCTGAGGGCTTACTGAGGTATAAAGCTTTACAAAGGAGATGGGAGGGCAAAGGAAACTGTCACAAAAGCATGACTGATGGCAGATTAATACACCAAGTTATAGGTGGGACTACAGAAGCCGGCACAGGCCCATGATTAGGACAGGACATTGTTAGAAAGGTTTAAAAGATTACTCCAGGACCATCCGAGGAAGGCCGTCAGGGTGAGACTGATGGGGCATGCCTCATGACTATGCGGACTCTTGTACTGCCCCAGCAGGGTGACCTCCATCAAGGATGTACCCAGGGAAGCCCTAAAAGAGACTGCCAGCCCTTTCCTGGGCTGGCTGGAGAGGGATGGAGGCAATATGCTTTCTGAGGCATTATGCTGAAGGACATGATTGTCTACACCCTTGGTTAAAGATCAGAAAAAATTCAATGGTAGTGTAATCTATAAGGGGACTCTGCAAATGGACTTGGTGCTGTCATTGCCATTTGAAAACTGGGGTGCTCACAATTAAAATTCTAATGCACTGTTACCAGGTTTTCAGCCAGAAAGCCCACACAAAAATGAACCTCTGAATGGGTTTGATGCTGCGCCCGTCGTTCTTGATGGAGCATTCAGTCCTCACTCTGAGTGCCCACTATCTCTGCACCAGAGATAAGCCCATTTGGACCACTAGGCTTTCCAGCATAATAGGGCTATGGACAGGCATACTGAACAAACCCCTAGGGAGATCAGTCTTGTTGATTTCAGAGCCAGAGCTGGACCTTTCCCTGTGCACCTGAAGCAGTATGTAGGCTGGACCACCTGTATAGTCTGCACCTGCTATAAGGACCACCTGTATATTCTGCAGCAGCCAACAGGGAGAGTGCCGAGCTCAGTGGGAGAAATGGTTTTCCCACCATATGAGGCTCTCCTTGATTCACTAACTCATGTGCCTCTGCAGGTCCCCGGTGCTGCCCTCTGACCACTGAATCCACGGGATCAGGTCCACATTTCTAGTGAAGGGTCAAAACTAGACCTCATGCTACTTCATGTAACCGAACATTCTGTTATAAAAATACACTTGCAGATGAGGCACAGATAACAATTTCATTATATTCTTTTTTGTATGATAGATCATTTAGTTCCTACAAAATCAGAATCCTGTAAAAATAGAATACATGGGTACATTTATTAGGCTTATACAGTTTGGACAATTAATAAAATGCCTTCACATTTCATTACTTAAAAAAATCATTTTGTTGGGGCTCGTACAACTCATCATAATCCATACATCCATCCACTGTGTCAAGCACATTTGTTTATTTGTTACCCTCATTGTTCTCAAAACATTTTTTTCCTACTTGAGCCCTTGGGATCAGCTCCTCCTTTTTTCCCTTCCTTCCCTGCGCCCCTTCCCTCATGAACCCATGATAACTTATAAATTATTATTATTTTGTCATATCTTACACGTCCACATTTCATTACTTTTTTAAAGACACAACATCTGAAGAATTCCAACTGCTAGATAATGACAACCCACTTTACAGATGTCTAAGTCAAACAGTTAAACTAACGGTTAGTATGTAGTGGGCATAAAAATAATATACACTGCCATAATGGTATTCAAATTTCAAAAGTTGACATAGATTGGCTAAATATTATTATTATCATACTGATAACTGATACATTGATATATATCATATAATATCAATAACTCTTTAGGGCTTAACATAGTCTTTCATTCCCTTGTATTGCTCTATTAAAGATTACATTGATTTAATGCCCATCATTTAAAATATATTTACTTAAAAATAATGCACAAATCAATTTATTTTAAAATTACTTTTAGGCAATAATACTACTAAAGTATACACACCTTACAATATTTGACCATTTGGAAGGAAGGGCCAGCATTTACCCAAGGACAAAGTTCAGAAGGGTTAGGAAAGGAGGAGGAATGGGGACAGAATACAGGGAGGAGGTGGGATGGGTGATGTTACATGGAGGGGATTCAGGGAATAAGAGAAGAAACAAAGCATATAAACTGTTGACTGTAAAACTGATTATCTGTTCTATAAGCCTCCAGTCAATACAGCAAAGGCTAAAAAAAACTACTGTTAGAATAAAATACTTCTAAAATTTTCCCACTTTAATAAAAAAATAATTTTGCCAAATGTTGATTAAAATTTTTTTCTGATTAGAAAATTAAATGTAAGGTCAAATGGCTATTTTGCATTTATATTTTCTTTTAGTTTTTTTTTAATGAGGAAGATAAATCAAGAATGCATATGATTTAATTGAGTTCATTGAGTATTAGTTTCTAACGTTTATCTGCAATTTTAAAATTACTAGTCATAAAATGTGTTTAAATTTCTTCACTTCAATTAATAAGAAGGCTATACATTATAAACAATATTTACATTTTAATAATAAAATATAATTATGGAAAGAATATGGAAATAATACAAATCAATTATTTATGTACATTAGCTAGATTGATAAGAACTTAATTGATAAATAACAGGATCAATCTGAAATAACTTCTTAGTTTGATAATTTCAAGCAGAATTATTTCCTAATTATAATATTTAAGATATGAGAGAATACACACAATTATATATCCATTCTTGTCCTTCAGTCAGAGGCATTACATGTTGACACACCTGCAGATAAAAATAGAAAGTTTTTATTATTACTATTTGGGGCTAATTTTTCAATAGAACATTTCTTGACTCGGCATAAAAAAATAACCAGATGCAGATAAAATTCTGTAATACACATTCTTATCAGGAACTATATCTATATCAGATATCTCTGATTTGATATTTAAGTGGATCATCCACCTTAAGTCATATTCTACCTTGATTGAGTGGCTGGTAACTGGTGTGTGCACAGATGAATGGGGGAGAGGGGAGTAAACAGTCTGTCTTCCTTGCCCAGGCAAGCGCATTGTCTAAAATCCTAAACATAAGAGATATTATCTCTTTATCCTGTTTTAGAATACTTTTAATTTCAGGGGCAGTTTGGCAGAGGAGGAAAAAAGACTAAGAACAAGGGATACAAATCTTTTGTCTTTCTCTACACCACAATCAGGGCACCTGCCTTTGAATCCCTAACTAAACCCAAACCCGAGATTTCTGCTAGGAGTAGAACTACAAACGTCCCTGGCTGTTAGCTGATTAACTAAAACTCAGAGGCATTTTCTCTGTTGATTACCTTTTTTACAAAATCTTAGCAATCTCGTGGGTTTTCTGAGACTGTAACTGGTGACAGAAGTTAGAGTTCAGCCTTTCTTTCCAGGAGCTGCTGGTGGTTTCGATCTGCTGACCATGCAGACCAGAGCCCAATGCGTAACCACTACACCACCAGGATTCCTTTAAAATCTTAACAATGAATTGTCACTCTCTGAGTTGATTCAGACTTAGAACTGCCTTAGATGACAGAGCATAAGCACCCTACGGTTTTCTACGCTGCAACATTGAAGGAGCAGATGGCCACCTCTTTTCCCTGGCAGAGTGACTAGTGTGTGTGAACCTCTGATCTTTTGGTAAGCACCCAAGCACTTAACCACTGTGGCACCAGGACTCCTCTTAATAATGGACATAAAAATATTTTGAGTTATAAAAATATCAAATTATCTAAAGTGTTTTGAATTATCAAGATTAATGACTAATACTTCTTTATGATGTTCAAAATATACTTTATGTACATCACCTTATTTTTATCTTTACACTAACCTCTTGAAGTAGGTAGAGCCAGTGAGGCTAGTGATAGTATCTGAATTTTACATTTAAAGAAACTGGACCAAGGAGGCTAAGTGTATTTCCCATAGTCACTCACCCAAATGAAGAGAGGACTGGATTGGAGTCAGTCTCCTGTCTCCTTATATAGGACGATACTAGTATGAATACCATTAGTGTTGTAGATAATAACATTTAAAATAGTTTTCCACTTCGTTTCATAGCTACATGTTTATTCATAGCAAAGTATAAAAATATTTTTTCAAAGACAACAAAAGGCTTTCATTAGAAAAATATCGTATTACCATTGTAGATTTTGGTGCCACTTCCACTGCAAATATGTTGAGTCCTCTACTGTTAATGCAGTTTTTACTTTGCTCATTGTTGATATGAATAATCACTTTATTTTCTGACTGTAAAAAATGTTTTTTATTAGTTGTTAGTCTATACTTTATTACAAATATAAACTTCAGAATAAACCCTGAAATTATACTTTAATCTCATAGAGTACACTACAAATATGTATTGACTTCATTTTCCTCATTCAACCTCTCTCAAATCTGTTACCAGTTACATAGGCTTTTTCTTCTATATGTGACTTGGATTCACTCATAATATTTATTCCAAGGCCATTATTGTTACTATGATTATACTCACCACAGCAACAGCCTCTATTTCTTATAACCTAGCTCTAGCTCTACTGTTTCTACCCTCTATCTTGCATGCTCTGCTCTAGCTAATACACCCCAAACATTCCTTTTATGGTGCTACTCATTTCTTCACTTAGTGTGTGAACAAGTCTGTTTAGTACCAGCTCTACACCAGGCACTGGTGTAAGCTCTAGAGACAGCAAAAGATACAATTCCTGACCCAAGGAGCTAGCTCACAAGTGAAGGGGACACACACAAAAGAAAATGACAATTTTGAAATACATTGTGAAGATGTGTGAAAGAGGTATTCCTACACTTCTATCTCATACTTTTCTGACTTATAGAGACCTTATAGGATAAAGTGGAATTTCCTTTGTGTTCCTGAAACTGTTTATCTTTTTAAAAAATAATGTTTTAATTGACATATCTTACTCATTCCAATATATGCCTTCTCTTCATACATTTGTTGTTCAATCCCATTGGGTGGGATTATACAATTGAGTGAGGTTTTACAATCATCAATCAGCTCCCCCTTTACCCCTTCCCGCCTCCCTTCCCATACCTTTAGGGAACCATTACTTCTGTAACTATTTCTAAAGGGTTATTTATCTTGCTTTTCATGTACTGCATAATCTTAAATATACAAACGAACATATTTAAGTCTAACCTGATAAATGAGGTAAAACAAATAAAAACCATCATAGTAAGGGGAGGAAGTATTTGTGAACTAGAGGATAGTTATGTAGTTCATTAGTGCCAAGACTGCACTCTGAATCTATCATCCATTCCATGTGGCCCTTCTGAGAGACTGCTCAATTATCTTACAGGTGGGTTTTGGGTCTCCACTACATCTCCGGCCCTTCACATCAATTTGGTTGTGTGTTGAGACTGTTTATCTTTGCTGGAGCAGGCAGCCTCATCTTTCTTCCATGGAGTAGCTGGTGAGTTTAACCCGCTGAACTTGTGGTTAGCAGCCCACTATACCACAGGGCTCCTTACATGATTCTACAGAAGCACAGAAAAGGAACATGAACTCAGAAAGGACTATCAGAGAAGACTTTATGGAAGAGGTGATGTTTAAGATGACAGGATGGATAATCGAGATAAACCAAAAGTTAATAAATGGGAAATGCAAGAATGAAAATATTTCCCTGCTAAACCCCAAACTCACTGCCATTAAGTTGATTCAGACTCATAGCAACCCTATAGGACATATCAGAACTGTGGTTTTCAAGGCTGCAATCTTTACGGGGGTAGAAGCCTCAACTTTCTCCTGAAGTGAGCTCAAACTGCTGATCTTGCAGTTAGCCGCCCAACATATACTCCCTACACTACCGAGGCCACCCCCCCCCACCCCACCCGCCAAAGAACCTAATAACTACAGAGGGTAGTGTACTGTCAGACAACCTACATTTATTTCTCAGCGGCTAGCTAGCCGAGAGACTTTCGGAAGTCACTTCACCTCTGTACTTCATTTTCCTTCTGTAAAATGGGGTAGTGCTTACTGCATAGGGTTGTTGTTTAAGAAGTAAATGGGTTGATATATGTTAATATATAGCCTAATGAGCTGTGTTAGGGCACTATCAAATTTTGGTGAACAAAAGTTTAATTTTCCTATCATCTTGAGGGAGAGGAGGAAAGTGGAGGAAATGATAGGTGATAAAAGAGCAGAAAGGTTGGGATAGTGCAGCGACTCCCTTTCATTCTTTAAATTCTAGTAAGCATGTATAGAAAGCAGGAAGGGGAACATGCAGGATCAGGAAGAGCCTGCTCGGGGCAAGCTTCCTGAGCCATGTGAAGAATGCAATACACTACTTTTGGATCCTAGCCTATTGCACCACATTCAAACACCACTACAGTACATCATTTTCAGGATAATGTAACATATATAAGGTAGTTCATAAAGTATTACCACTAGGGTTCCAGCCTATAAATGCATGGGCTTATCTGAAACATATTTAAACATGGCTTTGTGATCAATGGATGTCTACACAACAGATTTTCTCAGAAATACACTTGTCTTGGTATCACTGTTGTTGTTGTTGGGTGCTATCATGTCAGTTCCGACCCATAGCAACCTGATGCTCCAAGGAACCCTCACAATTGTTCTCACGAACAACTGTTCTCGTGAATCCACTGTGGCGGCCACAGTGTCACTCCATTTCCTTGAGAAGCTTCTTTTTCACTGACCCTGTACTTTACCAAACATAATGTCCTTCTCCAGGGACTGGTCTCTACAAACAACAAGCCCAAAGTATGTGAGATGAAGTCTCGCCATCCTTGCCTCGAAGGAGCATTCTGGCTGTACTTCTTCCAAGACAGATCCGTTTGTTCTTTTGGCAGTCCATGGTACTTTCAATATTCTTCTCCAGCACCACAGTACAAATGCATTGATTCTTCTTCAGTCTTCCTCATTCAATGTCCAACTTTCAGATGCATATGACGCAATAGAGAATACCATGGCTTGGGTCAGGCACAAATTAGTCTTCAAAGTAACATCCTTGTTTTTTAACACTGCAAAGAGGTCTTGTACAGCAGATGTACCTAATGCAACTCATCTTTTGATCTCTTGACTGTTGTTTCCATGAAGACTGATTGTGGATCTAAGCAATAAAATCTTTGACAACTTCAATCTTTTCTCCATTTATCATGATGTTATCTATTGGTCCCGTTGTGGTCTTTCTTATACTGAGTTGTAATCCATACTGAAGGCTATAATCTTTGATCTTCATCAGCAAGTACTTCAACCCCTCCTCATTTCAGCAAGCAAGATTGTGTCATCTGCATATTACAGGTTAAAAAGCTTTCTTTCAATCCTGATGCCACGTTCTTCTTCATATAAGCCTGCTTCTCTATTTGCTCAGCATACAGATTGAACAAGTACAATAAGAGGATACAACCCTGACACACACACCTTTCCCGATTTTAAACCCTGCAGTATTCTCGTTTTCTTTGCACAACTGCCTCTCAATTCATGTACAAGTTCAGCATGAGCATAATCAAGTGTTCTGGAATTCCTATTCTTCTCAAGATTATGGTACACGCAGTTGAATGTCATTGCATAGTCAATGAAACACAAGTAAACAAGATCCATCTGATATCACCGATGATACCCCGTTCCACATCCTCTCCTAAATCTGGCCTCAGCTTTTGGCAGGGCCTTGTCAATGTACTGCTGCATTGGTTGTTGAATGATCTTCAGCAATATTTTACTGGCATGTGGTACTGATGATATGGTTCTATAATTGGAACATTCTGTTCTGTCACCTTTCTTTGGAATGGGCACAAATATGGATCTTTTCCAGTCAATTGACCAAATAGCTGTCTTCCAAATTTCCTGACGTAGACCAGTGAGTGCTTCCAGTGCTTCTTCAGCTTGCTGAAACTTTTCAGTTGGTATCCCATCAATTCCTAGAGCCTTGTCTTTAGTTAATTTTTCCAGTGTAGCTTGAATTTCTTTCTTCAGCATCATTGGTTCTTGCTTACAGGCTACCTCCTAAAATAATGGAATGTCAACTAGTTCTTTTTGGTACAGTGATTCTATGCATGTTTGCTACCTTCTTTTGACGCTTCCTGCATCATTCCATATTTTGCCCACAGAATCTTTCAAGGTTTGAATTTTTTTAGCTGTTTCGGTTTCAGATATGCTGAGAGTGTTCTTCCCTTTTGGTTTTCTAGTTCTAGGTCTTTGCACCTTTCATCGTTAATATTTGGTGTTGTCTTCTCAAGCCACCCTTTGAGAATTTCCGTTCAGCTCTTTGACTGCACCATTTCTTCCATTTGCTTTAGCTACCGTACGATTAAGAGCAAGTTTCTGAGGCTCTTCTGATATTCCCTGTGATCTCTTTTTTCTTTCCAGTATTTTTAATGACCTTTTGTTTTCTTCATGAATGTCCTCCCACAGCTTATCAGGTTTTCTGTCAATAGTGTTCAATGCATCAACTCTGTTCTTGAGATGTTCTCGAAATTCAGGTGGGATAGACTCAAAGTCCTATTTACTCCTGTGGACTTGTTTTAATGTTCTTCAGTTTTAACATGTACTTACATATGAGCAACTGGTGGTCTGCTCCAAAGTCAGTCCCCAGCCTGGTTTTAGCTGCTTTTCCAGCATCACACCACACAATTTGTTTTCTGTTTATTCCCTCTGAAGAAGTTCATGGGTACGGTTGCCTTTTGTGTTGTTGAAAAAAAGGTATTTACTATGAACACATCGTTCGTCTTGCAAAATACTATCATGGGACCTCCAACTTTGTTTCTATCACTATATCTGTAAATTCCAACAATTTTTCTTCCTCTTTGTTTCCAACTTTTGGAAACAATATTATCAATGCATCTTGATTGCATGATTGATCAATTTCTGACTGAAGTCACTGATAGAAATTCTTTAATTTCTTCATCACTAGCTTTTGTAGTTGGTACATACATTTTAATAATAGGTGTATGGATTGGATTTATTTGAAGGCAGATAAATATAATCCTATCACAGACAGCATTGTGCTTGATTGATTTTGCAATGTCCTTTTTTTGACAATGAATTCCATATCAGTCCATGATAAGATTTTCTGATTCAGAGTGGCCAAAAGCAGTCCATCTTAGTCCAGTCCAAAACCACTAATGTCTAAGATAGCAATCTTTACGTGTTCCATTTTTGACATTTTCTAATTTTCTTAGATTGATACTATGCACATTCTAAGTTTTATCATTAGCAGGTTTTACAGCTGTTTCTCCTTACTTTGAGACTCCCCATAAGCGAATGAAGACAGCACAGGCTCTACAGCCACAGGTTTGATCTGACTCCATTACCTTGGTAGACCCCGCTCCATGAAATCCCCTTACTACTATGACTTATATTTGTTTTACCTCGTTAAGCATGCTAGATTTGCATATGTTCATTTGTATATGTAAGATTGTTCAGTACATGAAAATCAAGATAGATAACCCTTCAGAAACAGTAACAGGAGCAATGGTGCCCTGAGGGTATGAAGGCCAGGGGTTGGGGTGGGGAATGGGGAGCTGACTACATAACCCCACTTGATGGGATCAAGCAATAGAATATTATGTGAATGGATAGAGAGGATTGTGTAAGATATGGGGAAAACAAACAAACAAAAAAGTTATTATAGAAAAAGAAAAAATAAATAAAAATAAGGGTTCCTGGGGGGCCTGGTGGGGGAGGGAAGGGACACAGGGGAGCTGATATCAAGGATTTCAAGAAAAAGAAAACGTTTTGAAACTGATTGTGGTCACAATTTCGTACTGCTTGATGTGACTGAACAGTAGAATGTTACGCGATCTGTAAAGGCTCCCAATAAAACAATTAAAAAGAAAGAAGAAGAATAATTCTTCAATGAAGAATTAGAGATGAAAATCCTGTCCTCAGCAGTGTAGAGTGCTAGGTGGAAGATACGTTGAGCAGCACCGGCTTCGTATTTTGTTCCTTTTCTTTAATAAGCGTTTCAATTACTTTAAAGCAATACTTACTGACTCACCCTTGTCTAATCCAGCTCTGTTATGTGCCTTCCCTATATTCCTCCACTAAGCTCCCCGCCTCCAGACAGCAGACAATCTCCCCTTCCTTTGCACATCACAGCAACTCAGCCCCTTTCTTCCACCGTATGTTTTCCCTGCTTCCAGGTGGTCTTTCTTCATGGTGAGACCCTTGTCACCCTTCCATGCTCAAATCCCACACTACCATCTTCTTTCCCTCCATCAAAAATCCCTCCCCAATTTCAATAGGCCAAACTAACATCAACTGCAAGAGGTAGAAATAAATTAATCCTTCAATTGTACATATAAAAAGTAGTATGTAATTTAATGTTTATTCTCTCATCTCTGACAGGAATATTAAATTTGTCTTTCCAACTAGTCAAAAAAAAATGCTTGAAATCAGAAATCAGTGTTTTACACTTTCTGGTGGATCATCTTATGACTAGGGGAGTTAGTTATACAATGCATAATTCAAATTTACTCAATGCTCAGATAAGCCTTAAATGTAAGGCAGAAATGAATATAATAAGTCTAACTCATTGAAAGAAATAAGCTAACAGTCCTAAAACCCCAGTTATCTTATGCAAGGTTTTATGAAATTTTCCATTTCTAGAGAACTGGGTGTCTCCTACTTTAAGGTTTTATGCATGTATTCTCTTGACCTGTCATATTAACAGTAGCAGAGGAGATGGCCAAAGCTAGAAATAGTTAGCTGGATAAAAGTAAGTCCTGGAAAGTGGAACTTATTTAGCTACATAAGTTGATACTATTCTGTAGGATTTCTAAACACTGCCAAGTTGACGTAAAAAGCTAAGCTCCTCATCCTCTTAATTTATTTAGAATATTCTTAAAGCAAAATGTCTATTATATAAAATTGCTGTGTGCATGTGCATATTTTAGGAACTAAATACTTTGTATCCCAATTATATTCTATCTCCATAAATCTTTAAATACTTAATTAAGAAATAATTATCACATCTCTAAAAATCTAAAAACATGTAGAAATTATCATGCGCAGTTTGAATTAGAACTCTGAGGATAAGAGAATACAATCGCCTATTATAAACATCGTTAATGAAATGGGAGTATTTAATTACTGGAGAAGAATAATGTAAGACAGAGGATGGAAGATACTAGTAAACATCAGAGAAATAAAGAGAACCACATCCTAATTAATACCTTGTTTTCAATAACTGACGTTATCCAGGTGTCATATTTGTAAGTATGCACGATTATATTTTCATAGCCATCCATTACTCTGGCATCGCCTTTATTGAGGACAGATTTACAAATGGCCTTCTCAAGTTGCCCACTGCTTGCCTCCATACGGACAGCTTTAATTTTGGGCTTGCACTTTTCAGCATAAATATCAATGACAAATGGACATGCCTGAAATGGAAGAAAAAGCATATTTTCTTTAGACTTTTTTGTAGAATTTTAAATAATTTAATTTATGATGAGTATGTTTTTCATATTCCATTGCTATTCACAAGGTTTTCAGTGGCTAGCAGTGAATATAGGTGCATTAACTCAGTAATATGGCAGACACACATGAATATTAGGTGATTGATAGTCTCTTCTATAGCTTTAGCTGAATGAAAACAAAAAAGGGAGACAAAAGAATTAAAAAATTTTCACAAATTTAGGAAAGAACTGATTATTCTGTTGTTATGGTAATAAGTAACCTACAGAAGTGATTTAAAACCTGCTCAATTAGCAACAAGAAACACACTTTTGAAGCCACACAATACATTACTCATTTCTAAAAAATTATACTATCAAGGACAGGTACAATTCAATATATATACCTCAAAGTACCACAGTATCAACAATTTAACCGAGAGAACTACATTCCCTCACATGCTGTCATCCCAGATATGCCTCTGAGAGTCAGCTAATCTCTGAACTCCATGCTTCCCCAAACCCCATATACGATGTGCTCCTTGCACAGACTGATCAACAAAGTTCTCGCAGACTGTAGTAAGCATTAAGTTAACCTTTGTATTTTTATTTCAGTTACTGAGTGGTACTCTCATCATCCTCTGACAACTTCACTGTATATAGATTTTCACTTTTGAATTTTAAGTGATGTGAATATGTTACCTATTCACTAAATAATCAGGTTACATTTAAATTAAAGGACTCTGATCTCAGAAATACTTCTGGCCAAGACTTCCAAAGGTCAATGCCATTAACAAATGATGTACAAAGATTTAACTGGTCCTAATAATTTCTCTATTGACTGAGAGCACATGTAACAGAATCAATGCTATTCTTAGTTCAGAGGCTGATTTTATACCATGATAAAAAAGTAGGAATTCAATGAATGTTAGGTTAAAGTCAGATATAAAAAGTTACTGTAACTATTCTCCAATACCTAAAAAGAGCAAAAGAGTAAAAAATCTTCTCAGAAAATAAGTTTATTTGGGATTTTAAAGACATCTAAAATGTATCCAAAATTTGTCAAATTTGTCAGTTGATTCATTTATAGGAAAGGCTAGAGACTATTTTAAAATTTAAAGCTATAGACACATTTATTATTATTTAAGTATGTCCAGAAACCAAAATGTTTAAATTCTTTATTTTAACTTTGGCAGAGAAATATAGAATTTAAAAAGCAGAGCTAATTTTCATTACCCCTCTGGTTCATTAAAAATGTTTTTCACATCTTTGCACATTTCCTTAATGACACATAATGCTTTCTATAAGCCTGTTCCAAGTAGTTACTTAACCCAAAAAATACCCTTCAAAAGATCAGAATTCCAAGTTCTTATTGACTTTTTGCCCTTATTCTAAGAGAACAAACCCTGTTCTGTCAGGATAAAAAGTTTCCCTATAGAAATAACACTTTAGCAACTCAAATCATCATCTCCAGTGAAAAGATGGCATATTTTAAATTGCCTTTACTTTTCTGCATGTCATATGTCCAAACTCCTTCCTCCTTAATATATTTAAATATTGGCAGTAATCAAACTTCTCATAAGAATAGGAACTTACATTAAGTGCAATACTGCACCCAGAATATACGGATTTTATGGATTTTTCACTGAAATTTGAGGATTTGAATGTCTAATTCAAAAATCTTATGTCAAGAAAATGTGTACGGGATAACACAGTATATAAATTAAGCCAAATGGCAAAGTTTTAAGATTGATTTACCTCTGTCAGCTCCAGAGCTTTATTGTAGCCCATTGAGTGTAGAGTTACCCACAGGTCACTTGGATCACCTTCTTGATCATTAGCTTCCATAAGATTGAGATCCATAAACCCTTGCCTTGTTAGTTCATTCTTCTTTGTATCAAAATTTTCTGTTAAAACAATAAAAATTATGTTTTCTTACATAATTAAAAGATTCAATAGAATTATTATTGTATATTATTCATAAACATTTATATTAATTATCTGAAAGTAGAGTAAAACAATGCTTGAAAGATATCCTTCTAATTTCCCACAACTCAGCACTCAAAAAAGCCCCACTGCCATTACGTTTTTTCTGACTCACAGTGACCCTGTAGGGCTGGGTAGACTTGCCCCGGTGAGTTTCTATGGCTGTGATTCTTTACCTGATGAGAAAACCCCATCTTTCTCCCATGGAGGGGCTGACTGTTTCAAACTGCTGACTCTGCAGTTAGCAGCCCAACACAACCACTACACCACCAGGGCTCCTAAATTCAGCACCGGCACTGTCACAGTACACCGTTTAGTTTTTCAACAAATTCTAAAGTTGTAAATAGTGTGAACCTATTCTAAAATTAGAGGAAATTTTAATTTTTCTGAGCTAATTCCATCCTACATACTCATTTAGAGTTTTTATTTCAAAGAATTTTAAAATGTTTCATATATACTTGCCACTTAAATCCAACAGAACCTGATTTTAAAAAAATATATATGATGGACAAATTCAAGAATTACATATAAGGATATAAAAAAGCTGACGTTGCCAAATATTTAATTTTATTTAAATCTAAAGTAATAAAAAACCTTTATAGTAATAATGTTTCTACCATACTCTCTGGTTAGATAAACACATTTATGAGAATCCCACCTGGTTCAATGACATTACCATGTTTAAACTGTTTTAAGCTCCTAAGAGTAGAGTACATTACTATCCAGGCAAAAGCATACTCAACATGAGTGCAACTCCCTTCTGACTATAATCTGGATGCCTTATACTTCTTGCTCTGTGATCTGTAATTGGGGTTGGCATTCTGGTTTCCACCTCTCACCTTCCAGTCCTTAAATAAGACACAGGCTTTGCCTTCTTCCCATACACCTCCAAGGTGACAACTGTGTTAGTCCCACCCTCAGTGTTTCTCTTTGCTCACCTGGTTACTGTTTACTTCCACACCTCAATGGACATACTTGCTTAATTTAACTCAAATACAACAAAGGAAAACAAAATAAAAGTATTAAAATTATTCTTAAATAAAAATTAAAAATTATTCTTAAATTAAAAAGTATTGTTAACATGAATAAACAACTTCCTGAGAACCTACCCTTTACTAAAACTCAATGAACTCTTTGCTGCCCCCCGCTGGCCAGTTTGTGACTATTGGTTGCTGTAATCCCACTATGGTATCAAGAGCTAGGTCAAATACTTTTTTTTTTTTTAATAAATCATTTTACTGGGGGCTCTTACATCTCTTATGACAACCCTACATCAATTGTATCAAGCACATTTGCTGCCATCATCATTTTCAAAACATTGCCCTTCTACTTGAGCCCTTGGTATCAGCCCCGCTTTTCTCCCTTCCACCCCCCATGAACCCTTGATAAATTATAAATTATTATTATTTTCATATCTTACACTGTGCACTGTCTCCATTCACCCACGTTTCTGTTGTTCATCACCCAGCGTGGGGTGGGGGTGGGGGTGTTATACACTGGTCCTTGCAAGCGGCTCCCCCTTTTTCTCCCTTCTCCCCTGACCTTCCCCCTGCCCTCATGGCATTGCTACTCCCATTACTGTTCCTGGGAGTGTTTATCTGTCCTGGATTCGTGTGTTGAGAGCTCTTATCTGTACCAGTGTACATACTCCGGTCTAGCCGTGTTTGTAAGGTCGAACTGGGGTAAGGATAGGTATGGGGCGAGGGGGGGGGGTGGAAACATTAAAGAACTAGAGGAATGCTGGAATGCTGTGTGTTTTGTCAGTGCTATGCAGCACTCTGACTCGTCCCTTCCTTGTTACCCTTTTGTGAGGGGATGTCCAATTGTCGACAAATAAGCTTTAGGTCTCTACTCCAACCCCACTCATTTGCATCGGTATGATTGTTTTGGGTCTTCTGATGTTTGATACCTGACCCTGTCACCACCTCGTGATCACACAGGCTGGTTTGCTTCATCCAAGTGGGCCTTGTTGCTTCCCTGTTAGATGGCCCCTTGTTTAACTTCAAGCCTTTAAGACCCCAGACGCTATATCTTTTTTTTTTAATCATTCTATTAGGGCTCACACAACTCTTATCACAATCCATACACACATCAACTGTGCAAAGCACATCCGCACACCCATTGCACCCATCACTTCCAAAACACTCCCTCTCCACCTAAGCCCCTGGCACCAGGCCCCTACCTCTCCCCTCCCTCCCCGCTCCCCCACAAGCCCCCGACAATTTATAAATTATTATTTTGTCATAGACGCTATATCTTTTAAGAGCCAGGCACCATCAGCTTAATTCACCACATTAGCTTATACAACCATTTTGTCTTCAGCGATTGTGTATGGAGGTGAGCAACACAGAATGCCAGGTTATTAGAACAAAGCGTTTTTATGTTGAGGGAGTACTTAAGTAGAGGACTATGTCCATCTGCTTCCTTAAAACTTAACATATAAATATATGTACATAGGCCTATACCCCCATCATTACATAATAATATATTTACATATGGACATGCCTGTTTACACCTCTCTAAGTGATTTTGCCTCCAAGTTCTTTCCCCTATTTCCTATCATGTTCAACCTTCATTCTTGGTTACACTGCCCTTGATTGAACCCCACCAGGCATTCTATGGCCTCCTTGCCTTCAATTTTAGATCGCTTGTAGTTCCTTGTCCCTGCATTAGTTGACTGCGCCCTCCTTTTCCCTCACCTCCCCCTCTCCTCTGTCCCACGGGAACTGCCGGTCTGGTTGTTTTCTCTTTGGGATTTTTTATCTTGCCTATCTTATATAGATAGACATGAAAATATTAAAGGAAGAAAAAAGAAAGACCTATAAATAGTTCCAGGTCTGTCTCCTGACCCTTATATATGTTTTCTGATCCAGTCTGATGAAGTGCCAGACCCTGCCCTCTGAGTCTGGAATCTATTTTCGGGACTCCTTGGGGACTTTGCTGCTTTGCTCCCCTTGCTGCTCTGTTGCCCTCCCTTCGTGTTTCACCCCAGTAAGGGGCAGGGGGTGTCAGACCAAGCACAATTGCTGCGCTGTCTCCAGTGCTGTCCCCTGAAGCACTGCGGGTCAGTGAAGGACGTCTGTCTTGGGATGGGGCTGGCCCTATGGCCCTCTCTGTGCCTTCATCGAGCAGGAGTGTCATCCTTGGGGCTTGGGAGGCCAGGTTGCGGTTCTCGTTCTCTCTCTCCCCCTCCCTTTTAGTTTGCTCCCATGTAATCTAAGCAGACCTGCCACTTTCCCTCAGTGTGGTCCTCTGTAGCGCAATCTTCTGGGGAGGGTGTCGATGTAGATGGGATTGGGGCTGGCCTTGCTGGCCTGTTAGTTTACTGCTTCATGAAGGTATGTTTTATCTTCTAAACTCTTCCAAAAAACGGAGCCCTAGTGGCACTGGCAGGTCAAGACTGGACGCTAATCACTACCAACTGTTCCACCACAGAAAGAAAATCTATCTGCTCTTGAAAGATGTACAGCCTCAGAAATACAGTTCCTATGAGTTGGAATTGAATAAATGGCAGTGGGTTTGGGGTTTTTTGGTTAGCCCCCAAAAGCATAGGCTAAAGAGGAAATTAAATTTAAGTAATTCATATTTTCTTTTAAATTTAGTTCTCCGCTAGGTGGAGCTTTCATTGCACTCATTTTTCCCATTAGGTGAGCTTTGAGCAACTCACTCTGAGTTAGTGCACCCAGTGGTATCACCTGGGAAGGTTCTCTCTGGTCACACTGAATTTTTTCATAAAAGCAGTTTTGCTCAAGCCTCCTTTTCTGTGATGCCCGATTTAAGAGAACAGCATGCAGCTGTGAAATTTTGTTTCCTGCTCAGGAAAAATGCGGTAGAAACTGTTATAATGTTGAACACAGCTTACAAGGGCAGCATTATGGGAAAAACTCAAGTGTAAGAGTGCTTTTCTAATTTCAAAAAAGGTGAAATGTTGACTGATGACAAACCTCATTCTGGGACGTCTGTCAACGTCCTGAATGGATGAAAATGTCGACAAAATGCATACACCTATGCTCGAAGACCAATGGCGGACCCTTGAGGTGGTGGGGAAGTTCTCTGGACTATCCTGGAGCTCGGGTCAGCGAATTTTAACAGAAGATTTGGGAATGAGAAGGGTCACTGCAAAATCTGTGCCTTGGCTTCTGACTGACCAGCAAAACAGCACAAGTCAAGTGGAAACATGCTGTGCTTTGAAAGAACAGCTCCAAAGCGACCCAGACTTACTTTTGTTTCCAGGGTCATTACTGGTAACGAGACATGGTGGTAATCAATTATCAATCAAGACAGTGGAAGACACCATTGTCACCTTGCCCCCAAACTCGTCAAATGAAATGAAAGATCAAGTGAATGCTCATTTGTTTTTTGATGTGATGGGGAAAGAGCATTTGGAGTTCATTCCATCAGGTCAGACTCTTAATCAAACTTTCTATTTAGAGGTTCTGAAAAGATTGCATAACAGTGTGTGACAAAAAAGGCCTGATTTGTGGCAGATGAGAGATTGATTTTGCCACCAAAACAATGCACCTGCTCATGCAGCCAATTTTTGGCCAAAATAACCCAGCATGCTTCCTTTTCCCCACACACCTGGCTCACCCGACCTCCCTCTGTACAACTTCTTTTTCTTTCCACGAATGAAGATGGACATGAAAGGACAGCCATTTGACAACGTAGAAGAGGTGAAGAAAAAAAAGAGGGAGGTACTGTCAGCCATCCAAACAGATGAGTTTGAAAAATGTTTCCAAGAATGGAATCACAGATTTGAGCAATGTATTAAGTGTAATGGAGAGTACTTTGAAGGTGATAAGGTTGTTTTTTTAAAAAAATTTAAATGTACAGTGAACCCTTGCCACTTCGCGCTTCGACTTCTGCGGCTTCACTCTATTGCGGTTTTTGCCTAATAGCGCATGCTCTGTCATTATACCATCATGACCTGTCTGAAGAACATCCAGGCCACTTTAAAAGACACGAAGGTAGAGACGACAAAGGCCAGCTGGAAGAAGTTGTGGCCTGGAATTGTCCAGGAATCTGAAGAATTCACCCTAGAAGAAGTCAGAAACTCGGCGGTGGATAACACAGTGAGACTAGCCCAGATGCTGGAA